GTGCACACCATCACGCCTGGCTAATTTTTGTATGTTTAGTAGAGATGGGGTTTCACCATGTTGGTCAGGTTGGTCTCGAACTCCGGACCTCGTGATCCACCCACCTCGGCCTCCCAAAGTGCTGGGATTACAGGCATCAGCCACTGCAACAGGCCCTGATTTAGATATTTAGATGAGATTTTGGACTTTAAATGTTAGTTGATACTAGAATGAGTTAAAACTTTGGAGGCTGTTAGGATGGAATGAACTTATTTTTGTATGTAAGGATGTGAAGGCTAGCAGTAAAATGTTATGGAATGAATATTTATGTTGAAGCCCTAACCCCAAATATAATATTTGGGGGTAGCGGGCCTTTGGAAAATAACTAGGATTGGAGTAGGTCATGAGAATGGGGCCCTCATTCTCACTAATGCCCTTAAAAGACTTGGAAGCCTTAACCTCAAATATTATACTTGGAAGAGGCACCAGTGCTCTTGCTTTCTGAAATTTGAGGACACAGGAAAAGGGGGGCCATCTGCAAACCAGAAGAGAGCCCTCACCAGCACTCAACCATTCTAGCATCTTGATGTTGAACTTTAAAGCCTAAAGAACTGTGAGGAATAAATGTCTGTTGTTTAAGCCACCCTCTAGGTATTTTGTTATAATAGCTCAAACTGACTAAAAGAGTTGCTAAAGATATATCCCTCCCAATCCCCTCACCCAAAGAACCAGGCCCAGTTACTTTTAGCAAGTCTTCAAGGAACAATTCCCATGTTACACAAACTTTACGTGGTAATAAGTTAAACAAAATTTTTTCCAAATTCTTTTGCAAAGCTAGCAAAGCATTACCAAATTGAATCTACTTCTGTACTTAATAAAAACTATGAACAAATAGATTTTACTTGAAAAGTACAAGGAAACTGCAAATATTTGCAAACTTGTCAAGAAAATGAATTACAAAAAGAAAAAAAAGTAACTCATAAAATTACAACAATGGAGTTTTTAAACTTGATATAATATAGTAACCAATCCTAATAAAAACTTTTAGTCCAGGCATAGTGACTCACACCTGTATTCCCAGCACTTAGGGAAGCCAAGGCAGGAAGATCGCTCGAGGCCAGGACCACAAGACCAACCTGAGCAAAACAGCGAAACCCTATCTCTACAAAAAATAAAAATAAAAACTTAGTCGGGCGTGGTGGCACATGCCTGTATTCCTAACTATAGGGGAGGTTGAGGCAGGAGCATCCCTTGAGCCCAGGAGTTCAAGGCTGAGGTGACCTATGGTCACATCACTACACTCCAGCCTGAGCAACAGAGGGAGACCTTGTCTAAAAAAACAAAAAACAAAACAAAAAAAAAACCGAAAACAAAACTCTAAGTATAATAACAATTGGGAAACTGTGCACTGTGTGCCCAGCATTGTTACAATAATGTATTCTTCACAACTCTGTGAGGTAGCTCCATTTTATAGATTTTTTAGATTTAAGATACAAGGAAGCTAAGTGATTTGCCCAGGGTCACACACCTAACAAAGTGGTGGACTCAGAAGTTGAACCTAGGGCACTGGGAACAAAATCTATGCTCTTAACCACTAAACTACACTGCTTCTTCTAGAAATAAGATTAGAAGGAAACTTCCTAAATGCAACAGAACATCAGAATCCAACAATGAACACCATATGAAACTGCAAAAGACTAAAAACATTCCCCCAAGAGTTAAGAGAAAGACATCTACTGTTCCATGTTTTTCAAAGTTCTTGCTAATGCACAACATAAGTGACATCAAATTAAAAGACAAATAAATTATTATAAGCCTAGAAAAGCTAGGAAATGAATCTAACAAACTATTAAACCTAAAAATAATTTATCGACATAATTGGATCCAGATAAAATTTGTTTAAATCAATAATTAAAGTTTATACTAGCAATGACCAATAGAAATTGAAGTATGGCTTTCAAATGCAGCCAATTTTCCTCCATCCAAGAGCCTGAGGCTTTTTGAGGATTCACTTGTACTGAGCACCCCCACCAGACTGGTGGTAGTGAGTTAATATAGTCAGGAATGGTGCACATTCCCACACTCTAGAGGTTTAGTATGGTAGGGGATGAGCAGACAAGAACCAGAAAGTAAAACTGCAGCTCCCAACAGGCAGGATAGTTCTGCAGACATGACTGGCAATGTCCAACTCAGGGCAGGGAACCAGAAATGTCCAACTCGTGTACTCATATGGTGTGGGGCTCTTCCCTGAAATCTGGAGGCTCCCAAAATAAGACACTTAAAGAGGAAAAAGTCCTATCTGCATATCTTTTAAAGGAAAATGGAAAAAAAATATAAAAAACAAGTTGAAAACATTTAAAATACATATTCACAAATGGTAAAATTCCAGCTGTGTCATGAGTTCAGTTTTGTGCTTTTGTTGTTGTTGTCTGAGACAGAGTCTCGCTCTGTTGCCCAGGCTAGAGTACAGTGGTGTGATCTTGGCTCACTGCAATCTCTGCCCCCCCAGGTTCAAGTGCTTCTCTTGCCTCAGCCTCCCAAGTAGCTGGGATTACAGATGTGCACCACCACACCCAGATAATTTTTGTATTTTTAGTAGAAACGGGGTTTTACCATGTTGGCCAGGCTGGTCTCAAACTCCTGGATTCAAGTGATCTGACTGCCTCAGCCTCCCAAAGTGCTAGGATTACAGGCTCATGAGCCACTGTGCCCAGTCAAGTTCAGTAATTTCTAAAGGCCCTGAAAAACTTTAGGCCCCCAGTAATCCTTTCTGACTTTGTCTGAGACATCTCCCCAATCACATTTAATTCTGATTTTCTTGATCCTCAATTCTTTTTCCTTTCTTCTGCATTGTCTGAAACATACACAACAGCTCACAAAATCACCCCTCCAGGTTACATGACTGACATTGCCCCTCCAGCCTCCTCCTCCACCTTTGTCATACTGCGGGTCCTGTCAGCCTGTTAAGAAGTCTGGGGGATGGAGGCCAGGTGTAGTGGTTCGCACCTGTAATCCCAGCACTTTGGGAGGCCGAGGCAAGCAGATCACAAGGTCAGGAGATCAAGATCATCCTGGTTCATGGTGAAACCCCATCTTCACTAAAAATACAAAAAAATTAGCCGGGCGTGGTGGTGGGCGCCTGTAGTCCCAGCTATTCAGGAGGCTGAGGCAGAAGAATGGCGTGAACCTGGGAGGCAGAGCTTTCAGTGAGCAGAGATCGTGCCACTGCACTCCAGCCTGGGCGACAGAGTGAGACTCCCAATCAAAAAAAAAAAAAAAAAAAACTCAGGGATGGAAAGAGAACAGGGTGAACATTAGAGGCAAAGGTCCACCAGCACTGGGCCATTATTGCAAGGGTGGAAGGAAAGGTGGTTCAAGCTCATGGACTGACACAGGACTGCAGAAGGAAAGAAAATACTCTGAGAATATTTCTTGTTTCTTATGTCTTTGCATGTCTTTGCAGAAGGAAAGATGGTCTGGAAGATAATTAAGGCACAGTTCTCATCTTGAAATTAAGACAGCAGTTGTAGTGAGAAAGGACTAGCTGATATGGAAAACTGATTAGTTTGATACCACTATTTTACCAAAAACCTCATCACTCTGAATTCTAATCATCCAGGAATGCTACTAGTTGAAATTTTTAATCATCTATATTACAGCCATGAAAGTCAAGTCTTCTTGCAGTAAATTTTGACTGTAAGTTGTTTTTTGTTTTTGAGATGTAGTCTCACTCTGTCACCAGGCTGGGGTGCAGTGGCACGATCTCAGCTCATTACAACCTCTGCCTCCCAGGTGCAAGCGAGTCTCCTGCCTCAGCCTACCAAGTAACTGGGATTACAGGTGCCCGCCACCACACTTTGTTAATTTTTGTATTTTTAGTAGAGACAGGGTTTCACCATGTTGGCCAGGCTGGTCTTGAACTCCTGACATCAAGTGATCTGCCCACCTCGGCTTCCCAAAGTGCTGGGATTACAGGCGTGAGCCGCTGTGCCCAGCCAACTATAACTTTTATTTAGGAAGCAGGATGCAGTCAAATAGTTCAGAAATGGAATAAGTGTGCAGGTCAAAGTATGTTATCAGTAGGATATCTGCCCAACCCAGTACCTAGATAAACAGACACTCATTCACACACAAATCCATTAGCTCTTTAAGGCTGAGGTACCAGTAGTAAGACTTTCAGGGCTACATGAGCCTTTGTATGTGATATACTATGATGCCACTTCCTTTTTTTTTTTTTTTTCTTTTTCTGAGACGGAGTCTCACTCTGTCACCCAGGCTGAAGTGCAGTGGAGAGATCTTGGCTCACTGCAAGCTCTGCCTCCTGGGTTCATGCCATTCTCCTGCCTCAGCCTCCCAAGTAGTTGGGACTACAGGCACCCGCCACCGCACCTGGCTTTTTTTTTTTTTTTTTTTTTTGTATTTTTAGTAGAGATGGGGTTTCACCATGTTAGCCAGGATGGTCTCGATCTCCTGACCTCATGATCTGCCCGCCTCGGCCTCCCAAAGTGCTGAGATTACAGGTGTGAGCCACTGCACCCAGCCTACTTCCTTCTTTAGAAGCTTCTAGTGCAGTGGATGTGATGGGGAGAGGGGAGCCTGTGCCCATGTTAATGATGGCTCTATTTGAATTTTAAAACTTATTTAAGAACTAGCATACTCAAAACTATTATGTATATACTAAAATAAATAGATACCATACCTGATCTCAGAAGCTTAAAAGCTGGTATGAAAGTATACACATATGCAGCTGGGTGCAGTGGCTCACAGCTGTAATCCCAGCACATTGGGGGGCCGAGGTGGGCAGATCACCCGAGGTTGGGAGTTTCAGACCAGCCTGACCAACATAGAGAAACCCCATCTCTACTAAAAATCCAAAAAAAAAAAAAAAAAAAAAAAAATTAGTCATGCATGGTAGTGCATGCCTGTAATCCCAGCTACTCGGGAGGCTGAGGCAGAAGAACCGCTTGAACCCGAGAAGCAGAGGTTGTGGTGAGCCAAGACTGCACCATTGCACTCCAGCCTGGGCAACAAGAGCAAGACTGAGACTCTGTCTCAAAAAAAAACAAAAAACAAAAAAAGAAAGTATACACATACACAACTATATATGTGTATACTCTGTATATATGTGATACACATATCACATTGTAAGTTGAGAACAATTTACAAAAACATTTAACAGTTATACATTGTAGCACCAGCTAATTTAAAGCATTAAGGCCAAATCAATAGAAGTATAAACTAAACAAACAACTATTTGAAGAAGAAAGTCTTTCAGAGATGGCATAAATCTTGAACATTGTGAAGGAAGTGATTAGTAAACAGGAAGAAAAAGTTTTCTAGCTAGAAAACACAAAAATGATGAGAGGATGTAGCTTACAGTACAAATTTTAAAAATAGCTGTGGAAGGAGATAGCCAAGGAGCAGGGAAGAACAATCTTGTAGAATGACTTTAAAAGTGATTTTATGTAAATGGTCCAGTGGAGGAACTGCAATAGAATAAAGATAATACAACTGCTGTTCTTCAAATGCAGAATCTGATTATGGAATGCATACTAACAAGACAGATTTTTTAAATAGTTTTTTAAGAGAAAGAAGGAAACCTACAAGTTCATGACAGATGTAATCCCTAATTTCCTAATACTAAGTAAGGATCAGACTAACTTGCACCTACTCTTCCACCTTAGTGACCCAAGGAAAAGCAAGTAGGGTATGGTCCCCACTGTGATTAGTGGTCTCCAAGGAGACCATGATCAACATCCTTCTTATAAAGAAAGCTTAACTCAAAGGTCTTTGCTCTCTGTCTCAGAGAACCATGCCTTAAGAAGATGACTGAGACAGACCTGAGGGCTTCTCTCCAGTGTGAGTTCGCTGGTGGTGATTAAAAGTAGAACGCTGACTAAAGGCTTTCCCACACTCAATACATTCATAAGGTTTCTCTCCAGTGTGGACTCTTTGGTGCACAGTAAGCTGTGAGCTGTCACTAAAGGCTTTCCCACAACTATTGCATTTATAGGGTTTTTCCCCAGTATGGGTTCTCTGATGTACCATAAGACTAGAATTATAACTGAAGCCCTTCCCACACTCATGACATTCATAGGGTTTCTCACCAGTGTGAACTCTCTGGTGTATAATGAGGTATGAGTTTTGATTGAAGGATTTTCCACACTCATTGCATTTATAGGGCTTCTCACCTGTGTGAAGTCTCTGGTGCCGAATAAGACATTTACTCAGACCGAATGCCTTACCACATTCACTACATTTAAATGGTTTTTCTCCAGTATGAATTCGCTCATGCTCAACGAGTTGAGAGATCTGATTGAAGGCTTTCCCACATTCACTACATTTGTATGGCTTTTCCCCAGTGTGGAGGCTCTGATGTCGAATAAGACATTTACTCCGACTGAAGGCTTTGCCACATTCATTACATTTATAAGGCTTCTCCCCAGTGTGGGTTCTCTGATGGTCAATGAGATTTCTATTGGAACAGAAAGCTCTCCCACATTCATCACATTTATAAGGTTTCTTACCAGTGTGCAGAACCTGATGTCGAACAAGATTTTTACTGCGACTAAAGGCTGCCCCACACTCCTTACATTCATAAGGTTTCTCCCCAGTATGGGTTCTCTGGTGGTCAAAGAGTTTGGAGCTCTGATTAAAAGCTTTTGCACATTCATTACATTTATAGGGTTTCTCCCCATTATGGAGTCTCTGATGTTGAATGAGGTGGGAGCTGTGCCTATACGCCTTTCCACACTCACTGCATTCATAGGGTTTTTCCCCTGTGTGGGTTCTGAGATGAACAATGAGCTGGGAGGTTTGCCTGAAGGTCTTCCCACACTCATTACACTCATAGGGTTTCTCTCCAGTGTGGATTCTCTGATGGCCAATAAGGTGAGAACTCCAATAAAAAGCTTTGCCACATTCATCACATCGATAGGATTTCTGTCCCTTTAAAACTCCTTCATGTTCAGCAGGACTGGAAGACAGATGTGGATGTTCCCCAACTTCCTTATATTCCTCATATCTGTCTTTTGTGCATTTTTTCTTATCTTCATCTGTTATTTCCAAGAAATCACTTTCTAGTCTGCTCCCTTCTTCATTTGTGGTATGTCCTTCTAACTCTTTGAAGGTATCTTCATAAACATCTCCAATCTCTGCTCCCCCAGGAACCACCCCAAAGAGTCCCCCTGATGTGCTATTAGATGACTCTGATCCTTTAAAAATTTCCTGCTTCGGAATCAACTCCGAACTCTCCATCATGTTCCCACCTGCTGCCAAAAGAAAGAAGACGACAACTTTTACTCATTTCTTTTCCTGTTGAAGAAACAGAATCATAAAGAGCTAACGTACCTGAAAAAAAGTCACATTATGGTTAAGAAATGAGATGACACATTAAAAACAAGAGCAAAATGCTCAATTGTATCTTAGGGATAGAAAAACAAGGAAGAAGAAGATGGTCAGTGGAGGAGGGTGGAAAAAAGATATCGAGCCAGCACAGCCAAGTCAGAAAGGCCATTGGAAAGCAAGGGACTGGATTGCAAAGCATGCTGTGATCTTATATAAGTCACTCTCATGCCATGTCTCTTTAGCAAAATGGTAAACTTTGAGTTCCCTTCCAACCATGACATTATATGGTTCCATGGTTCTCAGAAAAGATGTTGGGAGAGGGAAGGCTGGCAAATACCTCAAGTCAAATATAAGAAAGAGACAAGGAAAAGATGGGAATGAGTTGAGAAATTTCTACTATGAGGGTATGATTAGGAAAGCGTACAAAAGGAGAGATGTTGTATGACAGGACAGTAATGAGATTCGGAGAAGCTATCGGTTAAGAAAAGCTGGATGGCAGTATTGAAGGAGACAGCAGATTTCTAAAAGTGGGGATGCCACTGGCCCTCAGAGCATTGGCCTGGTAGAAGCCAGTTGTATACTCCCAGAAAAGATAACAGGGACATCAATCATTTGAAATATAAATTAAAATTTCTTTGATTCTCTAGAATATAAAGGAACTGAACAGGTAAATATTTGCCTTTTGGAATTCTGAATACAAAATCTGGGAGAAGGCAGAGCAATCATGGCCAAGGAAAAACACCAAAATGTGGGTTCCTTTCAATCACATCTGAATTGGGGCCACAGCCATCATGCCAGTTAGCCTATGAAAAGTTTAAGATGTCTGGGTGAGTGATTCCTAAGCCCACCCTTTCCAGAGTTGGCTACTGCCCTATACGAATCAATTACAGCACCTGCCCTGCCAAGAAGCCCTCCCAGGAAACTGCACTGCCCCAGTCTTTGCAGAGAGGAACACTTAGGCAACCATGCTTTGTGGCAAGTGACTCTGAACATCCCATGATGGACCGCAAGTGAATGGACTAGAACCAGGTACTAGATCCAAGGGCAGCTTATCTGTAGGTTGGTCTTTAGCCTCTGCCATGGCCTGGGCCAAAGCTCTGCCCAACTGAGATGATGGGTAATGGCTATAGCAAAAGGAATCTGTCTCTGAGGAAATTTGGAACTGAAAGTAGGGCAAAATTATGAGTGGCAGTGGAATCTGAAGTGACACATGGAGAGAAGTCAAGCTATTAGGAGACACAGCAAGCAACAAATATAAGGGAACAGGAAATACAATTAGGAAAGAGCTATGATAAGGACAAAAGATTCACAGTGAAGAAAACGGGCAGCAGGAGGACAAGCAGAAAAAAACCAGATACACTGAGAGCAGCTATATTACATTCACACTGGAACACAGGCATCAACATGCATTTGCTTTTGCTGCTCAGGCTCCCAGGCTGCCCTGAGTCAAGGCCTTGCTTCCCACAGTCTGGTCTGGCTGATCAGTTTTTTCCGGGTTCTCATTCCTTCAAGCCTATGACTCACAGCTTCTTACTTACAATAACTTGAGTGGCTCTCTATTCCTTACAACTAAAAAAACCCTACCTAAATCACCTTATGTCAATCAATAATGAGGTAATGAGGATGCTGATCATTGTTCAGGCTGAGGGAAGGGGGCAGAGGGTCCCTATTCAAGAGGACCCAGGCAGCTTCACACACACTGGCTCTTATATTATTCACTCTAGTTTATCTGTGTTTGGAAATTTTCTTAGTAAAAAGTTTAAAGAGACAAGGAATATAGAAAAGAGAATGTGCAGCATGCAGACTCTAAGTGACTGGGAAACAGAATCATTACCCAAGGAGGCCATGCTGCAGTCATTTTCCAGCATCATGTTCCACTGCAGGGCTCTCTGACTGAGTGCGGGACATTTCCATTTCTTCTGAGTATAGCCCACAGAAAGGTCCTTATACGCCACAGTATCCTGGAATGACAAGCTCCAATTGCTCAGTAACATTCACAGCCTGAAAGGCAGAGTCATCAGGGGTACAGAGGGCACAGGGCAAGGTCCCATATCAAGCTAAGGTCCCGTATTGCTCTTCGTGGGCAAAAGTGTGGGAGAGAGGAGCTGAGATGACACCTCAAAAATGACAAGTCCAAGGCAAGATAGAGTCCATTACCTCCAGGGGAAGCAATGAGGCAGGAGAGCCACAGGAACAGTCTTAGATGGGGCAGAGTCCTGGGGGTGAGACCTCTAGCCATTCCTGGACCAGACTAATGGGGATGTGGTAAAAACACAAAGAACCAAGCTCACCTGGGGCCTGACCATCCAAAGTACAGTTGCCCCTGCCTGGTCTCCTGAATTCACCACTTGAGTAAGGGTAGGAACTGGAGAAGCACATTGAGCTGAGGGAGGAAAGAAAGCTATGAGTGGGACAAGCCCTGCTTCTGGCTCCCATAAGATCTATATTCCCAATAAGTGGATTCAAGAGAACCCAGGCACCTCCACACACACTGACTCTTAACCTCTTCCATAAGGCATTATCCCAAGAGTGCTGTGAATTTTCCCTGGAGGGCACAGTACAAGGTCCCGTATCAAGCTGAGAACTGGGTGTTCCTCCAAGCCCTCACTCTCATCAACCTTTTTCAAGGAAGCTATTCTGGCCACACTCTCTCTCCCATGGCTTCCCTAGCACCAGCCAGCCCTGATTTTCCCCTCACAGTTGTGGTTCCTCATGCCCTGGTTCCTCTTCCTGCTTCTGCCCTCTCATTATAGACCCCTTAAAACTCAGGCCCCAGTGCTTCCTTGTTCTTTCCATCAGCAATCTGACCAACTCCCATTGCTTTAATACTGCTCTCACAGTTCTTCTTTCCCTCCTAGACCCCTACCACATGCCTCCTGTTGCCTATGGGACATTTCACTTGGGGGTCCTGCAACACCTTAAGTTCAGTGTCTAACATGCATGTTCTTACTGCCTTCCTCTCTGGATTTCCCAAGTTATGTCAATGAATTCACGCACTGGCCAAAACATTTTAATTCCTCTCTTTTCTTCAAACACAAGTCCCATTGATATTCCCAAAACTCATCTACAGGTTCTACACAATCCCTATCAGATTCCCAGGGTGCATCTTTTTAGAAGTCGAAAGCTGATTCTAAAATTATGTGAGGAGACCCATACAATCACAATTCTTCTTGAAAAAGAGGAATAAGTTGAAGGACTCAAACTTCTCAATTTCAAAACTTCCTACAGAACAACAGTCTTCACTGTATTGCTTCCTGGCATAAGAATAGACATACAGTTCAATGGATTAGAATTAAGAGTCCAGAAATAAACTCATACATCTCTAGTCATTATTTTACAACAATGGTGCCAGATCATTCAAAGTGGAAAGAATGATCTTTTCAACAAATGGTGCAACAAGTGGATAAGCACCTGCAAAATAATGAAGATGGTGCTCTACCTCACTCCATCCATAAAAATAACTTCTAAAAGATCAAAGACCTACATATAAGAACTAAACCTTGCCGGGTGCAGTGGCTCACGCCTGTAATCCTAGCACTTTAGGAGGCCGAGGCAGGTGAATCACCTGTGGTCAGGAGTTCGAGACCAGCCTGGCCAACATGGCAAAACCCCATCTCTATTAAAAATAGAAAAAATTAGCTGAGCATGGTGGTGGGCCCTTGTAATCCCAGTTACTCAGGAGGCTGAAGCAGGAGAATTGCTTGAACATGGGAGGTAGAGGTTGCAGTGAGCCAAGATCGTGCCATTGAACTCCAGCCTGGGCAACAGAGTGATCTATGTCAAAAAAAAACAAAAACAAAAAAACTAAACTAAAACTCTAAAACTCTTATAAGAAACCTAGGTATAAGTCTTTGTGACATTCAATGGATTCTTGCCACATGCACACCAAAATCATATGAAAACAAGGAAAAAAATAAATAAATTGGACTTTACCAAAAGGAAAACCTCTTGTACACAAAAGACTATAAGAAGAAAGTGAAAGTGAAAAGCCATCCACAGACTGGAAGAAAACACTGGCTAATCATGTATCTGATAAAGACTTGTATCTAGAATATATAAAGAATATATTTACGTTCTTTAATATATAAATATATTAATATATATTTATATTCTTTATATAGACAGAATATATGTTTATATTCTTTATATATTACAGCTCAACAATAAAAAGAAAAAAACAACAAATTTTAAAATAGGGCCAGGGCACAGTGGATCATGCCTATAATCCCAGCACTTTGGGAGGCCGAGGCAGGTAGATCACCTGAGGTCAGGAGTTTGAGACCAGCCTGGCCAACACGGCGAAACCTCATCTCTACTAAAAATACAAAAATTAGCCGGGCATGGTGGCAGGCACCTGTAATCCCAGCTACTCGGGAGGCTGAGGCAGTAGAATCACTTGAACCTAGGAGGCGGAGGTTGCGGTGAGCTGAGATTGCATTACTAAACTCCAGCCTGGGTGACAGAATGAGACTCCATCTCAAAAATAAAAATGGCCAAAAGGTCTGAATTGACATTTCTCCAAAGAAAATATTAAAATGTCTAATAAGTACACAGGATAGTCATCAGGGAATGCAGATTAACAGAACAATAAGATAGTACTTCATACCCAGTAAGGTGGCTAGAACAAAAATCCAATAATAAGCAATCATGGGAGGCCAAGGTGAGGGGATTGCTTGAGTCCAGGAATTCAAGACCAGCCTAGGCAACATGGCAAAATCCTATCTCTATAAAAAATACAAAAAATTAGCTGGGCCTGGTGGCACGCACCTTGTGGTCCCAGCTACCCAGGAGGCTGAGGTAAGAAGATCGCCTGGGCCTGTAAGGTTGAGGCTACAGTAAGCCAAGATCACCCCACTGCACTCCAGCCTAGGGGACAGAGCAAGACTCTGTCTCAGAAAAATAAATAAAAAATCAGTGAGAATGTGGAGATACTGAAACTTTATCCACTGCTGGTGGAAATGTAAATTGATGCATACACTTACAAAAACAGTCTGACAGTTCCTCACGAAGTTAAACATACATTTACTAATTGATCTAGCAATTCTACTCCTATATATATACCCAAGATAAAATAAATGTCCATACAAAAACTCATACACAAATGTTCATAGCAGCATTATACATAATAGTAAGAAGGAAGAAACGATCCAAGTATTCATCCAGCTTTTCACATTTATTGGCATAAAGCTATTTACAGTATTGGTATTCTCTTAAAATTAAGTAACTATATCTTCTTTTTGTGCACACTCTTAACAATCCAGGAATAGAGACATCCTTAAACTGATATGCAGAATAGATAAAAGAAATCTCCAACAGACGTGACACTAAATGGTAAAGACACAAAATGCTTTGCAATTACAAATAGAAACAAACAATGTAATCCTAGACAATGCAATTAGACAAGAAAAAAAATATGCAGAAAACAGACAAGAAAGATGCAAAGCAAATATACTCATGAATGATATGAGACATCACCTAAAAAATTACACAGAATGAACCAAAAAACCGGTTAGAACATGACAGGACATTCAGGAGGTTGAATATATAATCAACATATACTCAATAACTTTCCAACACAGTAGCAACCAATCAGAAATGAATTAATACAATAGCAACAAAAATATAAAGTACTCAGAAATACAGCCAATAAAAAATGTACAAGACCTTAGTGGAGAAATAGAAAACTCTGCCAAAAGACATAACAGATATAAATACATTTTGTGTGGGAAAACACTCCTTCAAGATGTCCATTTTTTCTAAATTAACATGCAAAGTCAACAAAATCCCAGCCAATCACAATGTAATTTTTCTTAGAGCTTGATAAGCATATTCTAAAATTCAAACGAATGAGTAAAATAATAGTCAAGAAAACTTTTTAGATGTGGAAAGTTTTGTTCTACCAGACAATAAGGTTTAATATGAAGCTGCAGTACTTAACACAGCATGTATTACTGAAGAAATATGCAAACCGTAGATAAAAGGAAAAGTACAGAATCCTGTCACAGGCTTATATACATATGTAAGGTTTGGTTTTTTGTTTCTATGGAGACGGAGTCTTGCTCTGTCGAGGAGGCTGGAGTGCAGTGGCGAGATCTCTGCTCACTGCAACCTCCACCTCCTGGATTCAAGTGATTCTCCAGCCTCAGCCTTCCGAGTAGCTGGGATTACAGGCATGCACCACCATGCCCAGCTAATTTTATAAGTTTGATGTATGACAGAGATAGTGTCACCACAGTGTTACCTAAAAAAAAAAAAAAAAAATGGGGTTCATTCACCCGGCAAGTAACAAACAACTGTGAGTATGCAAGTTTGGATCAATAGGAGTTTTATTACTTGGCTAAGTAAGGAGGACACTGGGAATATTTTCCAAAGCAGTGTCTCTCCGAGGGAAATAGGAGAGTTTTACGGAGCAATGGAGAGGGGAGAGGCTACATTATCGCATGTATAGGAGGGGTCCCAGTGGTACAGATGCAGTCATTATGCCAGCACCTAAGTCACGAGGTTATGGTAATGAAGCTATACCTACTCCCAGGTGGAGACTTTAGCATGTAATGAGAAGAGTTCACTCAGGTTCATCTATAAGTTGCTGGGGTCTGTCAGGAGCTGGTTTTAACTAACTAGGTGATTGCAATCCACACAGAGTTTAGGAAGAAACAGGCTGCAGGCCAGGAGGCTGTAAAACTGTCTGATTGCTCAAGTTGATTAAATTCCTACAATCCCTGTCTACTTACAGCAGCAAGACCTTCTTTTGAAGAGCCCCAGCAGCTGTAAAATTCACCTGTGCCAGCAGCTGTGCTTGCTTACAGAGACAAAGACCAAATGTCAGTAACCACAAACGAGAACTTAGCTCAGCAGTGCTACCCAGGCCTGAATCCTTGCTTCATTACCTTATTAAAATCTCCACCTAGAAGGGAGAAATACACTTTCCTAGGCACATATAGCGCTGAGTACAAAAGAAACAATGAGACTGACCAGGCGTGGTGGCTCACACCCGTAATCCCAGCACTTTGGGAGGCCGAGGTGGGTGGATCACCTGAGGTCGGGAGTTCAAGACCCGCCTGACCAACATGGAGAAACCCCATCTCTACGAAAAATACTAAATTAGCCGGGCATGGTGGTGCATGCCTGTAATCCCAGCTATTAGGGAGGCTGAGGCAGGGGAACTACTCGAACCTGGGAGGCGGAGGTTGCGGTGAGCCAAGATCACACCACTGAACTCCAGCCTGGGCAACAAGAGTGAAACTCCATCTCAAAAACAAACAAACAAACACAAGAAAAAAGGAAGAATGAGACTGAGCACACTCCAGTTCTTCCCATAGGGCCCCACCTCTTTCCAGGAATCCCTGCCCCACTACATGCCCTAAGAGACCTTAAATATCCCTCTTCACCACACCCAGAGGAGGGTACTTTGAGCGTAAGCTTTTCCTTCCCCAGTCCTTCATCAACAAACAAAGTTTCTGCTCTGCTTAACGGAACTTGGTCTCATTTTATTGGCATGAACACCACCAGGCAGGTAAAGGACCCACTGAAGTCAAACAACCCCCCTTAAGAGTTGGTAACAGTAGCCTTACAAGTCAGTGGGAAAAATTAAACTAGTCAATGAATTGTATTGACACAATTGGCTAGGCAAATAAAAATAGTAAATAAAATCACACAAAAAATAAATTAAAGAAACTTAAAAAACAAAACGAACAGGCTGGGTGCAGTGGCTCACACCTGTAATCCCAGCACTTTCGGAGGCCAAGGCGGGTGGATCACAAGGTCAGGAGTTCAAGACCAACCTGGCCAAGATGGTGAAATCCCATCTCTACTAAACATACAAACAAACAACAACAACAAAACAAAAAGCCAGGTGTGGTGTCAGGTGCCTGTAATCTCAGATACTCGGGAGGCTGAGGCAGAGAATTGCTTGAACCAGGTAGGCGGAGGTTGCAGTGAGCTGATATCGCACCACTGCACTCCAGCCTGGGTGACACAGAGTGAGACTTGGTCTCAAAAAAAAAAAAAAAAAAAAAAGCTTAAAAACAAACCAAAAAAAACCATAAGACTCTAAGAACCCTGGTGTAAGCAAGAATTTAAGACAACAAAATGAAAAGAGTGAATATATTTGAATACAACAATATGAAAAAATCTCTGTCCAAAAGAAAAGCAAAAGAAAAAAAGAACACCACACACAAACCACTAATAGAAGTGGAAATGTAATAGCTAACAGGTAGGATAGTTTGAAAGTCCACAGTAAAACTAAAAAGACATATTCCTTATGCTACAGGCATTTAACTTGTAAGAATCTGCCCTGAAAAACACTTGCACGGGTATTCAGACATTTAGACAGGTATTCACTAGAATATTCTCTGTAATAACATAATACTGGATTCAACCTACTTGTCCATCAATATGGCTAAATAAAAGTAGCATTTTTATATGATGAAATACCATACAGCACCTAAAAGGAACATATTAGATCCTTGTGCATCACCATGGCCGTTCCACTATTCACCAGGTGGTCAGGCTGTGCTGCCAAGATTAAAAGGCCATCAAGGAAGGGACAGCACATGATCTGAGGTCGCTGAGGACAGACATCAACCACATGAGGCCCCAAGAGAAACAGTGAAAACTTACAGCAAAAGGAGAAACAGGGCACAAGATCCAGCCTCCTGCAATGCAAAGATCCCCCAGAGCTAGCACATCCACTCCACAGCAATAGAGCTGGTGTGATGCACACACCCCACTTAGTAAGGAAGAAAAATCTCAATCCACCCTCCCCACTCCCATGGGGTGTGAAATACAGAAAGCTGAGAGAATGAATGAAGGCCACTGACTTAAGAGATTAAACACAACAAAGGAGTAGACACGAAGCCTGAAACAGTGAAAGACACAAGGCATTAAATGCAGCAGCACAGGCTGTGAGGGCTCTAACTCTGCAAGGAAATGTTCCAGGCGCAAGGTCACTCTCACATTCTTAACTTGGCAATGGGCTATAAAAAAAAAAAAAAAAAAAAAAAAAGACATTAAAAACTGTCAATTCTTCTTGTCTCCCAGTTTAGATATTCCTTCTTTCATTAATTTAACAAACACCTTCTAGGAGCACCTACTATGTCCCACACACTAAGGTAACAACAATAAAGCAGACAAAAAGCACTGCCCTGGCAAGGGGCTTATGGGAAGATCAACCGATAAACAAATATATGCTATGCTAGACGGCGACAGGTGCTAGGAAGTGAAATAAGACAAGAAAAAGGGAGAAATATCAGGAGACCTGGAGACTAAGATTTCCGGACGGTGGCTACTTTCACTTTTCTTCCACTTTCCCATGTTATCTAATTGTCTCTAATAAGTACGCTTTATTCGCATAATTGGGTGAAAAGATAAAGCCGGGAGAAACCGGGACTCTTTCCAGATTCTCTGCCCCAGACGCCCAGGGGGCGAAGAGGTACCCCCTCGGCGGGGCGGGGCGGGATCCACGGTCAGACCCCCGCCCCGGGTGCAGCCTCCAGGCCGGGCCTCACCCGCCACTCTCGCCTGCACAGGTGCCCCCGCTCCCCATCCCGCGCCCCGCGCCCCGCCGGGCTGCTCACCTACTCCCGCCGCCAACAGACAATCATCCTACCGCAGTCACCTCAGCCGACTGCCCCGCGCCTACCTCCCGACTGCCCCAGTTGCGCACGCGTGTCACCTCCCCAGGTCCTCCGCGGCCTCTCTAGGAAACTGGGAGGCACAACGTCTCTGCTTCTCCCTGGCCCCAGGGCGGCGGGCGGCAGGGCTTGTACAATATCTCTTGTCTCCCTCCGCTGGACACTTCCCCTCCATGCTCTGATGCTTAGGCGCGTTCCGGGCCTATATCGGCTTTGGAGTGTTATTCTACATCCCTCCCATCGGGTCTACACGGCTGCCCTAGAGGCCTCTCTCCTTTCAGGGAAGAAAAGGATCCAAAGCTAGCGGTGAAAATAGGGCCAGCGGCCGGGCGCGGTGGCTCACGCCTGTAACCCCAACACTTTGGAAGGCCGAGGCGGGCGGATTACTTGAGGTCAGGAGTTCGAGACCAGCCTGGCCAACATGGTGAAACCGCGTGTCTACCAAAAATAATTTTAAAAATTAGCTGGGTGTGGTGGCGCGGCGCCTGGAATCCCAGCTATTTGGGAGGCTGAGGCAGGAGAATCGCCTGAACCTGGGAGACGGAGGTTGCAGTGAGCCGAGATCATGCCACTGCACTCCAGCCTGGGAGACAAAGCGAGACTCCGTCTCAAAAAACAAACAAAATAGGGCCAGCAAGTCCCCAAACATAAAACCCTTGAATGGGGAAATTCCCAAACAAGGCAATAAGCCCAGCACTGGCATGAGAGCTCATTATCTCCTTTTAAGTAAATGCTACAAGCCCTAGGCACAGTTTTGCAACTGTTCAAGGGTCATCAGGCTGCACATGACTGACTGCCTTTCCCAACACCAAGGTACTCAATTGCCCACTTTGGATGGAGCTGGAGCTTCGTGGGAAAAACAGATAATAAGAAATTACACAAATACATCAATGTAAAGTGGTTACGAACACTATGTTGAAATGTAACAGTTATTTAATTGAGAGCGACTGATGATAATGCTTGTATTTTTTTCTGGTACTTTTCTGTATACTTCCGGTAGCTCATAATACACTGGCTGTCACCATTGATTAGAGTTGCCAAAGGAAATAGAGTCCGTAACTGGAATAGCCACTGAATCCAAATCTTTTGGTCTTTTCATTACGGTGCTTCATAAAAGCTCTCCCGTCCCAAGTCCCCGTAGAGGGAGAGTTGGAGATAGCATGGCTCCTAGCTGGGATCCCAGAAGCTAGACGTAGGGGGTTGTGGGCAGGATAGTGAGGGGGCAAGATTCCAAGGAAAACTAAAATCCCTGCCCGGGAACGGTTACCACCTGGGAAAGCAGGAATGACCCAATGCATCAAGGCCCAGAGTGTACTCAAAGAACAACAGGTTAGGATGAGGGTCAAAACTCACACCAGAAAGAGCATTAGCTGGGCGTGGTGGTGTGCGCCTGTAGTCCCAGCTACTACGGAGGCAGAGGCGGAAGGATTGCTTGGGCCGGGGAGGTCGAGGCTGCAGTGAGCTATGATTGGGTCAGTGTACTCCAGGTTGGTCAACAGAGCGAGACCCAAGGAAGGAAGGAAGGAAGGAAGCGGGGAAGAGAGGAAGGGACGGAGGGAGGCAAGGAGGGAAGTGAGAGAGAAAAGGAATGAAAGAGAGAAGGAAGAGAGAGAGAACGAGAAAGAGCAGGCTGCTTCTTGGGTTACATCCTGGAGAGGCTGTGTAACATTATGAGTTGGAGAAGCAAGTACAAAGTAGTAAAAACTTCTGTAAAAAAGACAGCATGTGGCAGAACAGTGGGTTTTTAAAGGTGGGAACAAGAAAGCCAAACAATAGAAAAAAATAGATTGATTAACATCAGGTTACTTTTCTTTTAAGGATTAAAGCAGAGGGGGCCTTATGCTGACTCAGGTTAACTGGGCTCTTTCTGAATGGTTGCTATGAATTTCCTGTTTGCAGGAAAAGCTAGTCTGTTAGGGGATTCACATACTTCCGTAAAATTTTGATTTGATTATGTGGCATTTAGCATTAGGAATTTATTTATTTTTTACTTATTTAATTTTTTTTGAGACGGAGTCTCCCTCTGTCACCCAGGCTGGAGGGCAGTGGTGTGATCTCAGCTCACTGCAACCTCTGCCTCCCCTCCTGGGTTCAAGTGATTCTCCTGCCTCAGCCACCCGGTAATTGGGGCCACAGACACAGGCCACCATGCCCAGCTAATTTTTGCATTTTTAGTAGAGATAGGATTTCGCCATGTCTGCCAGGCTGGTCTTGAACACCTGACCTCAGGTGATCCACCCCCCTTGGTCTCCCACAAGTTCTAGGATTACAGGTGTGAGCCACAGCGCCCGGCCTTGTTTATTATTTATTTATTTATTTATTTATTTATTGAGATGGAGTCTCGCTCTGTCACCCAGGCTGGAGTGCAGTGGTGCGATCTTGGCTCACTGCAACCTCTGCCTCCTGGGTTCAAGCGATTCTCCTGCCTCAGCCTCCTGAGTAGCTGGGATTACAGGCGCGTGCCATCACACCCGGCTAATTTTTGTATTTTCAGTATAGATGGGGTTTCACCATCTTGGCCAGGCTTGTCTTGAACTCAGGTGATCCACCTGCCTTGGCCTCCCAAAGTGCTGGGATTACAAGCATGAGCCACTGCGCCTGGCTTATTTATGTATTTTTGAGACAAAGTATGGCTCTATCACCCAGGCAGGAGTGCAGTTAATGGTAGGATCTCCGCTCACTGCAACCTCCGCCTCCTGGGCTCAGGCCATCATCCCACCTCAGCCTCCCAAGTAGCTGGGACTACAGGTGTGCACCACCACACCCGGATAATTTCTTTCTTTTTTTTTTTTTTTTTTTTTTTTTTGTAGAGGTGGGGTTTTGCCATGTTCCCCAGGCTGGTCTTGAACTCTTGACGTCAGGTGATCCACCTGCCTAGGCCTCCCAAAGTGCTGGGTTTACAGGAGTGAGCCACCACGCCCAGCCACTGGTTGTTAATCTTTTAAATATCATCCCTGAGAAGAAGAGACCTAGGTAACAGTTTCAGTTCTGTCTGTGGACTGGAAGGAGGTGTTGAAGAGGCCAATTTCTTTCCCTCCCTGCAACCCCTCCTCACAGGTAGAATGAGACAAGATGGAAAAACAGCTCCTTTAGCCCCTCCCGAATCACCAAATTAACCCTTTAGTTGCTGGACCATATGAATGATTCAGGATTGGCCTTGCTGTCAGAAAGATGAGGTGGATCCACAAGGTGGGGACAGCTGGTGTCAGAGGGCCATGGGATTAAGGACCTCTTTTATTCTCAACAAGCCTAGGTCATTGTTCTCTGAGTAGGTTGGAGATGAGTGGGTTGCTTGCCAGAAGGAGAGCTGGATGTGTCCTGTGCTTATGATCTCCCACATGGCCTGACTCTGGTTACCTTAATGTCAAGACCCCGGAAAATAGTTTATCTTGTATGGCCTGGCTGCTAGGATGTTAGTGGAGGTAGGCGGTGCAGAGAAGCTGGGAGATACAGAAACCACAGTTGTTCTGTTGGGGGTGTTAGAGTGTAACAAGTTGGATGCAGACTTATAAAAGGCAAGATGAAAGGACTAGAGGAGTCGTTAGTAGGAAGATGTGTACCACTGAGTATCCAGTTGACACTTTATGTATAATCATCAATCAGTGGACAGTGGCAGAGGACAGTTAAATACAGAGTCAGAATGCCTCAACTGTTCCTTCCAAATCAGGAGACAGACTGGAGACAGTAGGCAGAAATCAAGTGGCTGGGTAGTCACAGGGCCCAGGCATCTCCCTGCTGAACACCATGACTGGTGTAAACGAGGGACTCCTGTGAAGTGTGCGCATACTATCTACTGCCATCATGTGAAGGATGTAGGTCAGTGTTCAGGTCTGGGGTAACCCATCTGAGGTTTGTCTGGCATCTGGAGGAAATGTTACAATTCATCAGGTCTTCCAGCCTTGGTCATGACCAACATGCAGGTTTGGTGACTGGCAAACATGGGTGTAGCTCCTGACATGAGGAGTAGTGAGTGCTAAAAACTGACATCAAGATCCTCCTAAGAAGGAAGGTTATAAATTCAGGTGAAATGGTGGTCTGGATGGAGCAGCAGGGCTAATGTGACGTTTATAACCCATGGAGGAATGACATGGTGTTTTTCAAATGCAGTTGACCCTTGAACAACATGGATTTGAATGGCCTGGGTCAACTTATACATGAATTTTCTTCTGCCTCCGCTGCTTCTGAGACAGCAAGACTAGCCCCTACTCTTTCTGTTCCTCCTCAGCCTACTCAATGTGAAGACAGTGAGGATGAAGGCCTATATGATGATCCACTTCCACTTAATAAATAATAAATATATTTTCTCTTCCTTATGACTTTTTTTTTTTTTAATAGGATCTTGCTCTGTCACCCAGGCTAGAGTGCAGTGGCACAATCATAGCTCACTTCAGCCTCACCTTCCCTGGCTCAAGCAATCCTCCCATTTCAGCCTTTGGAGTAGCTGGAGCCACAGGTGTACACCACCACACATGCTAATTTTTAAAATTTTTGTAGAAATGGGATCTCTTCATATTGCCCAGGCTGCTCTCGAACTCCTGGGCTCAAGTCATCCTCCCAACTTGGCCTCCCAAAGTGCTGGGATTACAGGTATGAGAAGATTTTTTTGTTTTTAATTGAGATAGGATCTCACTCTGTTGCTGTGGCATGATCACAGCTCACTGCAGCCTCAAACTCCTGGGTTCAAGGGTTCCTCTTGCCTCAAACTCCCAAGTAGCTAGGACCACAGGTGCATGCCACCATGCCCAGCTAATTTTTTTTTTTTTTTTTTTTGAGACAGAGTTTCGCTCTTGTTGCCCAGGCTGGAGTGCAAAGGCACGATCTCAGCTCACTGCAACCTCCGCCTCCCGGGTTCAAGCAATTCTCCTGCCTCAGCCTCCCCAGTAGCTGGGATTACAGGCATGCGCCACCACGTCCAGCTAATTTTGTATTTTTCAGTAGAGACGGGGTTTCTCCATGTTGGTCAGGTTGGTGGCGAACTCCCGACTTCAGGTGATTTGCCCGCCTCAGCCTCCCAAAGTGTTGGGATTACAGGCGTGAGCCATCGCACCTGGCATGCCCAGCTAATTAAAAACAATTTTTTTCTTTTTCTTTTTTTTTTTTTTTTTTGAGAAGGAGTCTTGCTCTGTTGCCCAGGCTGGAGTGCAGTGGCACGATCTCAGCTCACTGCAAGCTCCACCTCCTGGGTTCATGCCATTCTCTTGCCTCAGCCTCTTGAGTAGCTGGGACTACAGGTGCCTGCCACCA